ATCTCTTGTGATACTTGTGACCTCGTGATACTCGAGACACTCGTGATACTGAAAAGTCGCCGGAGCTAAACTCTCCTATACATATAGCCAGCGCTCGGACGGGGTAGGGAATACCTTATCGAAGAGTTAGTTTCATCCGTTGCTTAGGAAATGTTAGCAACGGCAAACTGTTATTGCGTTTCCATGGAAGTATGCGCTAACTGTTCTAGCGTTACAATTGAAACGACTGCTGGATTCGGAACATGTGGTAGGTTTTTACCTGTTTTTACCTGTCATGGGTGTGACATTCACATAATAGGCACACAGAAACACGCGGGTGTTCGAATGCAACGTTGTGTCAAAATTTCGAAGCGATCGGTGAAGAAGTTTCGGAGATCTTAGATAAGACTCAAACGAACATTTACAGTTTTATTTACATAAGATTATGTAGATGTCACGCCCGTGACAGGTAAAAACAGGTAAGAAACTTGTTATATGTCGTCCATCGAATACCAACAGATCGTTACCTAGGAATAACCGTGGCAACGAACTGTTGTAACAGCGAATCGTTGCCTAGGAATAGCCGTGACTACGCACTGTTGTGGCAACGAACTGTTGAGACAAGCGGATCATTGGCTAGGAATATAAACAGTCTATAGGAAGCCGCCGCCAGAGTCAGTCGAGATCCAGCCACGACAACATATGCAGCATAGCACTGGGCCAGAAGCTAGGAGAAAGAGGAGTAGTTTTGTTACTGCAAGTGGCAATTCTTGCGAAGTGTATAAGTGTAAAAGCGAGGAAAAATAAATAGTAGCGTGATAGATTTCGATTTATTTTCATTTTATTTAATTTTGAATTAATTATTTCGTGTTAGATTGCGTTGGAATTGGGCTATGTCGTTTACCATAGCGTTCACTTCGTGAGTATAGTTTATTTTTCGTTGTTTTCCATTTCGTTTTCTTAACTGTTTTCCTTATTTTCCGGCGCATTTGGCGGTGGGATTGAGCTGTGCCGATTGATCTGCGTTTGAACTGAAATATTTCGTCAGCATTTTTTTATTTTTTGGTTTCTTCTTTGTTTTCCAGTTCGTGTTCTTTCCTGTTTTAATATTTTGCAATTTAATATGTTTTTGTTATAACTTTCTTTCTTCTTCTTCAGTGCAGTCGCTAGAACAGACCGTTGCATAGGATAACAGGTTCCAATGAGTAACAACGGATGAAACCGGATAGTATACTTCCATGGAAACGCGAGTATCGCGGGGTCACGAGTATCACAAGAGATTCCGAGTGAAATCAAAGCAGAAACAGTTTCGATTTATTTTCATTCTTTTCTTTTAATTATTTCGTGTTACATTGCGTTGGAATTTGGGTTGTGTCGTTTACCATAGTGTTCATTTCGTGAGTATAGTTCATTTTTCATCGTTCTTCATTTCGTTTTCTTTACTGTTTCCCTTATTTTCCGATGCAATTGGCTGTGGGATTGGGCTGTGTCGATTGAGCTGCGTTTGAATTGAAATATTTCGTCAGTATTTTTTTATTTTTTTTGTTTCTTCTTTGTTTTCCAGTTCGTGTTCTTTCCTTTTTTAATGTTTTGCATTTTCATGTTTTTTCTTATAGCTTTCTTTCTTCTTCTTCGGGGCACTCGATCTGCTTTAGTTCATTCAAATAATGCCTCGCAGAAGTTCAAACTTAGGTCGTCGTACTCGCGGAGCGGAAGCAATGCGTCGAGTAATTTCAAATCAAAATGGGGAAGAACGGGCAGACTGAGCCACAGCAAGGCGTGGCCGGGCACAGCTAGTTTCAAATAAAATTTTGTCCCTTATTCTTTCAAGATTACCTCCATATATATTGTAACGTGTTTACGTTACTGAATACGCCGTAGAGATCGTTAATTGGTTTATTGAATACTCTACAAATATCGGCTACAATTAATTATAACAATGTTACGGTTTTCCACACTTTACAAACCCTACAACAAAATCTCTTAACACTATCTTCAAGAGTCTTCACGTATTAATAACGCGGGAGCTATACAAGTCTCCCTGAATTACACACTCCAGATATAACTGGTTATCACTGGTTATCGCACACGCGTCTGTAGCTCGTAACTTGCGAACTGAGAACTCCTTGATAACACACTGACTCTCGCTTGCTGCTCAGCCGGCTTTATTCCTTTCGCTGTTGCTAGTGTGACGTGGCGTATAGCCTAGCAACGCTGTTACCCCTTGGTGACGTCACCGCTGTTGACTCGCTTTGCATAGCTTCAAGGTTGCGGGGACTCGGCTAACTTCGGCTCCGCTCGGCTCACTTCGGCTCCGCTCGTGACGTCACCGCGGTGAGAGTTGCGGGATGATGACTCGCCCATTACGCGAGCGCTACGTTACCGCTACGTGCCGCTGGGGAGGTAGGGGTCAACATGTCACAATATATATGAAATTATTGAGGATGATCAGTGTGGGTTTCGACGTAATAGATCAACTACAGATCAGATCTTTTGCTTTCGTCAGATATTGGAGAAAACCTGGGATTACGATGAGACAGTACATCAGCTGTTCATAGACTTCAATAAAGCCTATGATTCAGTTAGGAAGGAAGTATTGTACAATATTGTGATAGAGTTTGGGTTATCCATGAAACAAGTTAGGCTGATTAAAATGTGTTTAAACGAAACGTATAGTAAAGTCCGTGTAGGTAAACATTTGTCTGATAAATTTCCTATCCAAAATGGTCTAAAACAAGGAGATGCTTTATCGCCACTCCTTTTAAACTTTGCTTTAGAATATACAATTAGGAAGGTCTTGGGAAACCAGGAGGGACTGAAATTAAACGGAACACATCAGCTGTTGGTCTACGCCGATGATGTGAATCTATTGGATGATAATGTAGATACCATATAGAAGAACATACAAACTTTAAATGACACAAGTAAAGAGGTTGGTCTAGAAGTAAACACAGAGTAAGCTAAGTATTTGTTACAGTCTCGTCACCAAAATGCAGAGCAAAATCATGACATAAAGATGGGAAATAGATGTTTTGAAAATGTGGCACAGTTAAGATATTTGGGAGCAACGACAACAGATCGAAACCTGATTCAGGAGGAAATTAAGAGGCGATTGAACTTGGGTAATGCTTGCTACCATTCAGTCCGGAACCTTTTGTCTTCTCGTCTGCTGTCCAAAAACATAAAAATTAGAATATACAAAACTATAATTTTGTCTGTGGTTCTGTATGGGTGTGAAACTTGGTCTCTGACATTAAGGGAGGAACATAGACTGAGAGTGTTTGAGAACGGGTTGTTGATGAGAATATTTGGACCGAAGAGAGATCAAGTGACAGGAGGTTGGAGAAAACTACATAATGATGAGCTTCATAACTTGTACTCCTCGCCAAATAGCAACTATTTCTACTCTGTAGAGGTCTAAGGGAGAAATGTTGGGATGGTAGGAATTATCAAATGTTATTTCCACTTTCCCCTGCACATACGTGTGGTCAGTAACTTTGTCAGCGTTTACCTACAGTATGTGTAATATAGGCATATTTTAACTCCGTGACTTTAGTCCTCAAGCGAACTATACCGACCGAGCGACAGCCGATTGTCTGCGAAGTTTAGTGCCAACTTTTGAATATAGGCCTATTACAGAAAAAAAAAATATCATTATTACATTAGGTATCTGGAACTGCTTAGCCGAATTTCACCTAGTCCGCCCGATGTTAAATCTAATTAATCGCTCTTTCTAAATTAGTCATCCAAATGAATGAAGTAGAAATTCCTTCCGAATTATATCGGATGTTAATATGAAGTTAATATCCACCGCGTGAGCATTTTCTCTCTCTTCCGGCACACCGACCTGACTTCACCATCAAAACCTCCCGAACTATTGCGCGTAACGCTTGCTACGTCACACATTCCTAAGTCTTTATTTTAAATTAACGAGCGTGAATGAGCGACATGGCTTCAGTTGAAGTCATTCTGTATGCCACTCTTTCCCTGACCGCATATACTGCGAATCGCGAGTCAGCGAGATTCTCATTGAGACTGCCGTCTTCTACGATTGTGAGGCCGTGCTGTTTGGCACATAGGTGTCAGCGTTACAGAGGAACCTCTTACCTCCATTTTCAGGATAGAATAGTGATTGTGATCTCGTTTAGTTTAGTTTCGGATGAATTTCCAATCTTCCATGTTTGTTGTAGAAGAGCGGGGTATCCAATAGGAATCTGGAAACGTTTCGGGCCTCCTTCTTCGGGGCAGAACATGGGATGTTAGCCGTATATTCTGTTAAATGTTTGCATGGAGAAATCTGAAGCCTCCATTAACGTTTGAGAGGAAACTGATGTCTCCATCTTTAGGTTTTAGTAATAAAAGTGACGCCGTGTAGTTTACCAAATTACTCGATGAGAATCCCAGAAGACAATGATCTTTGTAGAAAAAAAAAGTGAAGTTGTCTGTGTCGCCATATCGACTGCGCTTCTCGCGGTTCCTTGGCATTTTTTAGGCCTCAGATCCCGTTTAAATGTTTCCCGTCCAACTCAATTTATAGATCCATACTAAAACATTTTAAGGACAGAAAGCGTAATGATTTCTTCCCAGAGGTCGTTGTTGGTGCTATTGACATTTCCCCAAAAGTCCCCATGGCCAAATCTTAACACCCAGTATTGATGTAAATAAACACTCTGTTCCGAATTTGTAATTTTTCTGAAAATGGCGACAGATGATTTTTTATTGTGGGGAAAGAATATTTTTAAAAACAAGAAAGGCCTAGGAAATGCCCATCCGGCCTAGGCGACAGATGACAAACATGGGTCTTGGCAAATCCATCTGCTGTTCTACATGTACACCAGCCCGTTCAGTGCAGTCGGCTGTGATTTCTGTGGCTGTGTTCCAGAGGTCACCGAGGAGACCGCGACGACCACGAGTTACCACGACCCCCACGATTAGAACAAACCGTTATGTCGTCATAAGTGGAAGTGTATGAGTAGTGGCTGTCCTTTACGGAATCATTAGGATAATTCGAGGTAAATTCGATTTCCTCATATTTTGAGAAATTTCGTGCTATTATTTCGCTGTTGCAAGTTCTAGTTGGGATTCAGCTAAACTTCGCAGCGCCCATTCTGAGGGTGATGTTTGCAGTAGAATGCACATTTTTACTGTTTTATGCTTTTTCTCGCCTGTTGGACATACTAATCCGACTTATAAAGGAAGTCGTGAGAGCTGATGGTCGATGGTGAACTGATTGAAGTTGAAGGGCATACAAATGCATTTTGAGGCTATGCGATGTAAATTTGTAGAGTAGGTTTGCTGTTTCTAGGAAGTGGTTCGGTGCAGTCTGGTAGGCTTTTATCGAAGTTTTGGAAGCAAGAGGTTCACTCAAGAGTGGGTGAACTATCTGCCTTCAAAACTAAGCAACAATCTGTTAAGATTACANGTATACATGTACAACTTCTATATCACAAGGATTCTTGTGATATGGAAGGATTCATTCTCCACTCACAAAAGCATCATGTGTGATAAAATAAAGTTTCAAGGTTATGAAAGATTCTGCATTCTCTTCAAGCAGGAATGCTGAGATTTCTGCTACAGAGAGCTGGAGAAACATTTCCTGCTGAGACAGAAAGGACGGTGAGTGTTTTGTGCTTGTGTGCACAGACAAGAATTTTATTGTCATGAGTCAATTCTCATATCATAAGAAACTAAACTATTTATGCCAAGCTTTTGTTAGTTTTCATAATTCATCTGGGGAGTTTACTTGGTTCTTCACATTATAACAGTTTGCTATGTTATGTGGTAGAGTGATTAATTCAAAGAGAGTGATATGGGTAGGTGAAGTAGCACACATGTGAGAATGAGAAATGCGTATAAAGATCTTGATAGAAGGCCTGAGAGAATGAGACAATTGTGAAGATGGATTTTGTTAAAGATACAATTATGGTGGTTTTGGACTGGGTTTGTGTCAGGATGCAAAGTTTTGATGAGCATGTGTGAACACAGTAATGAGTGCTTCAGTTCCATAAAGAGCAGATACGTGTCTGTACTTCCATATGGACCACAGGTTTCTCAGTAAGGTCCCTGCATTATGAAGTTAACACTTCCTAAGATTATGAAGTCTGTAGAGAAGAAAGCTGTACAGAGCAACTGTTATGGGTTAGATGTAATGAGAAACAGCTACTGCAAGGAGAGCATATATTGTTTCATGTGTGTTGTACAGCCATGACTGATAGAAGATGTGATGCCTTTACAGAACTGTACAAATTCAGAGAAGGTTTTAGTGGGTCCATATGGTGAGACATACCCAGCAGGTCTTGATGCAAACCAGGCTGTGAATATAAAAGCTGAGGTAGTCTCAGATGCAGAAGAGGAAGCAGATCCTGTGCAAATAAGAGTTCAGGAGATAAAGGCTGAACCTGAGGTGAGCTGTATGCTTCTGTATGTCCACTGTTAGGCAGATATCACAGATAGGCAGGAATTCCAGTTGTCTATCTCATCTCCATCTGTCTGACTGTGCACATAGTACAACTGCACTGTGCTGCTCGCCTTTAAAGGCCTTGTTCTGAAGTGTCTTTAGACAGTTATAGTTTGTTGAATGTATGCTGCTTGTGATGTACCAGTTCCATTTCCTATTAAGCGGTTCTGATGTAGATGAAATTAAATTTTGTGTAAACTAAACTATTTGAGAGAAATTCTATAGCAGCAAAAATCCATAGGGAGTCACAGAACTGTTCGTAGCTAGTTAACACATGTTAGAACCAAGAATTCAAATTACTAGAACTCTTGTGAGCTAATTCCAATGATAGATGCAAATCACTCCGTCCAATGTGACATACATGTATGTCATATTGGATGGAGTGATTTGTGTCCATGATTTATTCTAACCGTCTTACAGTGCATACATTTACTCACCTTACTCTTCTCTCTTGCACTACATGTTTCAGCACAAAAGTGCCATCTTCAGGTGCTTTTCGATGTACATTGAACTACTTCATTGCATGCCCTGTTGTCTTTATACTAAAGTAACTAAACTATATATTCGTCATATATATTGATAAATTTTAAATATTAAAAATATTAAAACTGTTCAGGATTTGTCATCCTTATGCCGTATCTCAATAAGCGAGTCACACCCATCTTCCCACTCTCTTGTGTGTATTGTGCTTTGTGTTGTGTCTTCCTCCTGTGACTGCACAATACGCTCAAGAAAGTAGGAAGAATAGTCCGATAGAAGAAGATAGGTGTGACTCGCGTATTGAGATACGACATAAGGATGACAAATCCTGAACAGTTTTAATATTCTTAATATTTAAAATTTATCAATATATATGACGAATATATAGTTTAGTTACTTTAGTATAAAGACAACAGGGCATGCAATGAAGTAGTTAGACATACATCGAAAAGCACCTGAAGATGGCACTTTTGTGCTGAAACATGTAGTGCAAGAGAGAAGAGTAAGGTGAATAAATGTATGCACTGTAAGAAGGTTAGAATAAATCATGGACATAAATCAGTGCAACAGGCCGCTAAAATATAAAATTATTAATAGGAGTGATTTGTATCTATAATTGTTAGTGTGATGGACCAGAATGAAATAAATCTAATTCCAGTGAACCCCACAAGATATTTTTCATGTGATGAAGGTTACAAAAGAGTATGAATCTCTTGGAACAAGAGTGGCAAGAATTGTACTGTATGGAGCTGAAGAAACATTTCTTGCTGTGAGAGAAAGTATTGTGTTTCATGCCTGTGTGCAGAGACAAGAGTTTTATTTTCATATGTCCTCTTTATCAAGGAAACTAAATATTTTGTGACCCGCTTCTGTTTGTTTGCATAATCCATGTGGGGAGTTCCTTACACTTGGGTAATAACGGTTGGGATATTATATAGGAGAGCACTGATTTCAAGGAGAGCTGTGGGTAAGTCATGTAGTGCACATGCAACAGTGAGAAATGCATACAAAGTGAAGAAAACCACTTGGGAGACCTGAGTGCAAATGGAAAGTTGCAATTAAGATAGATTTTAAAGAAATAATTTGGAAGGGTTTGTACTGAGTCTGTTTGCCACAGAATATGGAGCCATGTTGAGCCTTTCTGGCTTTCTCAACAAATCCTGTATGGATTGCTCTTCTCCCCTATGCCTGCTATATGAGCTGCCCATCTCATCCTCCTTGACTTTAGCTTTTAGGTACAATAAATAACTTCATGTAACTGAGTGAGTCCTCGAGAAGGCACCAGTTTCTTGGCCACTGAAGAATTTCCCAACATTGTATAGATCCTGGAAGTTTATTGACATGTTTGCAAAAACCTGTCACAAGTCCCTATCGTGAGCCATATCAATCCCGTCCACACCACCCCATCCTATGTCTCTTAAAGATCCATTTAAATATTGTCTTCTCTCCTGTGCCTAGGTCTTCTAATTGATCTCTTTCATTCTGGCTTTCTCAGCAAATCCTATATGCATTCCTCTTCTCCCCATGCCTGCTATATGAGCTGCCCACCTCATCCTCCTTGACTTGATCATATAATTATGCTTGGTGAACGAAGGTTACAAGTTGTGGAGGTCTTCATTATGATGGTTTTAGGTACCAAAAAAGCAGATATTTTCTGTACTGCTGCAGTGACCGTTAGTTTCTCAGGAAGGTCACTGAGCTATGAACTGAGTACTTTCTAGTGTTCATGATAGCTGTAGAGAAGAGCGAGCATCTGTACAAAACAGCTCTTATGAGTTAGATGTGATGAGAAACAGCCACAGCAAGGAGAGCATGTGCTGTTTCATGTGTAGTGTTGTGCATCCTTTTCTGAGAAGGATGTGATGGTTTTTACAGAAATGTACAAATTCGGAGAATGCTTTAGTAGGCCTGTATCGTGAGACATACCCAACACCTCATGATGCAGATCAGGCCATGAATGTAAAAGCTGAGGCAGTCTCAGATGCAGAAGAGGAAGAGGATCCTGTCCCAATAACATTTCCAGAAATAAAGGCCGAACCTGAGGTGAGCTGTATGTGCATTGTTAAGCAGATGACACAGATGTGGAGAAATGCCGCTTATCCTTCTGATATCTATCTCTGTTAACATGAAACAACTCCACTGCGCTGTTGACTAGATTTTGAAGGGTTTTTTCCTGAAATGTTCTAGGCAACTGTAGTACAGTATTATAATTAAGCATCCTGTTACACTCTACACAATGTATGACACAAACTCCGTCCTAAGTGCAACAATTTATTGTAGTTCTTTTGTCTTCTTTTCTTTTACACTACATGTTTCGGACATAAATGGCCATCATCAGGTGTATTTCTCTCATGTAGCTGTTACACTGCACGGAGTTTAAAATTTAAAAACACCAGCTTTCTTAATTAAGAAAGCTGGTATGTTACATGTAATGTAGAAGAAAATAAGAAAAAAGAACTACAATAAATTGTTGCACTTAAGACGGAGTTTGTGTCATACAACTGTAGTATGTTGAATGTTGCGTGTGATGTACCATTCCATTAACCCGTTGCCGTGGTTCGTCGTGTATGTTTCGTCAGGGATTTAAATCGTCTGGGGGGGTTCGACGTGTATGTTTCGTTCAGCTGCACACCTATGTTATAACGCCCATAATAATTGATGGTTTTGCTGTAGATTGTTAGATTTTTCGCTGGCCTGTTGTCAGTAGAACAGAGTATAAATAAGACACGACTTTATCTGTGCCAAGTCATCGTTACATATGCCTGTCTTGCAGCAAAGTTCCTGTGGTTCTGGCGAGCGGTTTCTAGCTGTACTGTTATGAAAGCGTGTTTACTTTGCTTTGAAGATATAAACAGAAGAGACGTGATGTTTACTGTTGTATATGATATCATATTACCCTGAGCTGGCCACATTGACACACTCAACTGAAA